CGCACGACTCGAGCGCCGCGCGGTCCGGGAACGCGCGCGCGGACCCGTCGGCGCCGACGGTCAGCGCCGCGCTCGCGCGGCTCTTCGACACCGTCGCGGCGACGGTGCCGGAGCCGCTGAGGTGCGGGAACGACTGTTCGGCGTAGCGCCAGTCCAAGCTACACGCGACGCCGACGTTTGACGCGGTCACGGCGACGCGCGCGGGGGCCGCGCCCCCGCCGGCCGACAGCGCGCCGACGACGAGGTGCGTGCAGACGCCGTCCGTGAGGTTGAAGAGGAAGCCCTCGTAGGCCGCGGCGATGGGCGGGATGGGGATCTTCAGGTCGTAGAGCCACTTGCTCAGGGGGTCCATCTGGGCCTGCGCCGCGACGGCGCACAGCGCGACGAGGCGGAGGAGGAGCTTGTGGCGCGCCATGGGAGGTGGCGGCGCTCTTGGGACGCGACGTGGGCGCTCGTATCACGTAAACAGGCGGCCCATCACCAATCACCACGGATTCTGCCGCAGGCGCGGAGGTCGGCGGTGCCGTGCTCGTCTCGCTCGCCGTCGACGGGATCGCGCGCGGCTTCGACGACTTGAACGCGGCCGCCGACGCGACGCGCGTGCTCGGGTCTCGAACGCAAGGAGCCGCCAAAAGCGCATCGCATTGTCGCAAACCGCGACGATGGTCGAGGCCTACGCCGCGGACCCCGCCTGCGCCCTGGCGCTGTCCAAGGCGTCGACGGCGGACGAGAAGCGGGCCGTGCTGACGAGCTTCGGCTGGACGTGCACGGTGAAGAAGAACAAGAGCGGCTCGCGCTGGGAGTACAAGAAGGACGGCGGCCGCAGCGTGTCGTCGCTCCAGAAGATCGTCGACGAGATCTCCGCGGACGGCGTCGCCGACGAGCCGGAGGAGGCGGCGCCGGCGGAGGCGGACGCGCCGGCGGAGGAGGCGGACGCGCCGGCGGCGGCGGACGCGCCGGCGGAGGACGCCGCGCCGGCGGAGGCGGCGAAGAAGGCCGCGCCGACGTCGCGGTCGCTGACGCCGGCGGAACTCGCGCTGTTGCAGAAAGACGACGAGGCCGGCGGCGCGACGACGCCCGTCGAGGGCGACGACCCCCCGAAGCGCAAGGAGAAGGGCGCCGACGCGAAGAAGGCGGCCGCGCTCGCGTTCTTCTCGACGGTGGGCCCGCCGGAGCTGCTCAAGGACATCGACGAGTCCAAGTACGACGAGCTCTCGAAGCTGCTGGGCTCGCTCCCGTCGGCGGTCGCCAAGCTCGTGGGCGAGGACCTGGGCGCCGGGCTCAAGCGCCAGCGCATCAACGACGTGGGCAACTGGCTGCTGAGCGGCGTGACGGCCGCGGTGACGGCCGCGGACGAGGCGAAACGAGAGAAGCTGCCCGAGGGCCTCGCGATGGCGCTGGGCAAGCTCGAGGCGGACTGCGACATCAGCGCGAAGACGGTGCTGCCCGCGGTCTGGCGCGACCTCGTGACGCTGCCCGAGGACAAGGCCCTGAGCGCCGTGGACCAGTTCCTCGCGGGCTACTCGAAGATTCGCCACGCGACCGGGTGGCTCCGGGCCAAGTGCGCGCAGCTCCGCGCCGGCGGCCCGCCGCCGCCGGCCTCCGGCGACAAGCCCGAGGCCGGCGGCGCCGGCGGCCGGCCGGGCGTCGACCGCGCGCGGACGCTCCTCGCCGAGGCGCTCGCGGCCATCGGCCGCCACGACCTCCTCGACGGCACGCTCGACGCCGCGCTCCACAGTCTGAGCGACGACGCGGCCGTCGCCTACGCGACCTACGTGCGGAGCCAGCCGGGCCAGGTGCTCTGGGGTTTGGGGCCGGGCCTCGGGCCCTGGCTCCTCGAGGGCATCCGCAACGGCGCGAGCCAGGGCGGCGGCGGCGGCGCGCCGCCGGGGCCCTACGGCCCGCCGGGCGGCGGCGGCCCGCCGGGCGGCCCGGCCTACGGCGGCGGCGGCGGGGGCGGGAAGCCCCGGCCGAACTACGACGACGACCGCCTCTGCTCGGGCTGCCGCGACGTCTTCCGCGATATGTACGACGACCGGAAGATGGACAAGTACGACCTGGACGACCAGACCGTGGGCCTGCTCAGCGAGCTGAGCCGGGCGGGGCAGATCGAGATCGCGGAGCACTTCGCGGCCTTCCCCCGGCACAAGATCAAGAATCTGTGCGGCTGGCTCCAGGGCGGCATCAAGCGGCTGCTCGGCAAGGAGGCCGACGCGCGGCGCCGCGGCGAGGACCCGGAGAAGCGCGAGCGGAGCGGCCGCGCGCGCGCGCGGTCCCGGAGCCCGCGGTCGCGGTCGCGGAGCCGCGGCCGCCGCCGCGGCCGGTCGCGGTCGCGGTCGAACCGGCGCCGCCGGTCGCGGTCGCGGTCCGCGTCGCCGAAAAAAAAGGCGCCGAGCCAGAACGAGGCCTTCTTCGCCAAGCTCGAGGGCGCCATCTCCGTCGGCGACGACCCCGACGCGGCCCAGTTCGCCGAGCTCGCCACGCTCGTCGGCGGCATGTCGGCCACGTGCGCGGAGAAGGCGGGCAAGAGCCTCGGCCGCCGCGTGCGGCGGGGCAAGGTCAAGCGCGTCGGCGCGTGGCTCCTCGCGTCGGCGAAGCGGTTCCTCGCGGAGCGCGACCCCGCGCGCGTCAAGCACCCGCAGCCCCTCGAGGACGCCATGCACCGCCTGCGGTCGTCGCGGCACCTCAAGAAGGCGGACTTTGCGTCGGGCACGCTCCGCGACCTGACGCTCCTGCTGCCGCCGAACGCCGCGCTCCACGTCGTCGACGGCCTCCACAGCGCGCTCGAGTCGGACACGCCGCCCAGGGACGTCGACGAGGCGCTGGACGACGCCATCTCCGCGCGGCTCGCGGCCGCGGGCGACGAGGACCGCGCGGAGCCGCCCGCGCCGCGGACGCGCGCGGCGTCGAGTGCCGGCGGCGCCGGCGGCGACGGATCGCTGCCCGCCGAGGCGGCCAAGGCCCTCGAGGCGCTGGAGCCGCTGGGCGTGTCGGCGGCGGACCTCGGGGAGGAGAACCTGGACGCGCTCAAGACGCGGCTCGGGCCCAAGGACGCCGCGCAGGTCCTCGAGCTCCTCCACCTCTCGCTCAGCAAGCGGCGGAGCGCGCCGGGCGACGCGCGCGCCTGGGTGAAGACGGCCATCGACAAGCACGTCGCCAAGAAGGACGGCAAGTCCGTCGCGAGCGGCAAGTGGGCCGACAACGGCCGCAAGCGGTCGCGGTCGCCGTCGCCCCGGGGCCGCGAGAAGCCGCGGAAGCCGCCCGCGGCGGACCCGGCCGTCGACGTGCCGCCGGCCGTGACGGCCAAGTGGGCCGCCCTCGCCGCGGACCACGACCTCCCGAACGCCATCCCCGCCAAGGTCCGCGGCGACCTCGGCAAGCTCCTCGCCGAGGCCGAGGCTTGCGACGTCCTCGACCGCTTCGGACGCGCGCTCAAGAAGGACCGCAAGACCGACGCGGCGCGCTTCATCTTCAACGAGGCGCGCAAGGTCTACTACGCGCGCAAGGACCGGTCCTCGTCG